CAAGCCCAGGATCCCGGGCTGCGCTGTCCGCATGGCTCCCCTTCCCGCAGCTCTGCAGAGACCCCGCTCTGGCCGCCACCTCCTGCCCGCGGCTCCCGGGAAGCTGCCCTGGCCAGGACCTCCCTTCAGCGAAGAAGGACTGGGCGCCAGTGGGCTCGCACCCAAGCTGCAGCTCCCCCAGCTCCCACGCCGCATTGCCCCCTCCCACACAGGTCTCCCCTGCCCCGGGCCCAGGCTGGGCACGGCCCCTCTGCGGCCCTGCTGGGTCCAGGCCCACTGCCCCCCCAGGCCTTCCCCCACCCCGCCCGCCCCAGGGAGCAGCATCCTGCCAACCGCCCGCCCTCACCAGGTGCTTTCTAGGCGCGAGGCTTGAGGAGGAGGTGCAGGCCTTGGGCTGCGTTCAGGAACGGTCCTGGTACAGGGGCACCTCCTCCCGTGCTTGTTCAGAACCTCGTGCTTGCTTCCCAGTTCTGGGGGTTTAGCCATGGCCTTCTGCATGCGCGTGCCTTGCGGTTCTGCCTGCCTCTCGCCGACACGCCCTCTCTATGCTGCTGGCTCTCTGGAGGGCGCGCGTGGGGTTGGGGGGGGACCATGTCGGTCCTTGGTGGCTCCTGGCTCTCCAGCATGTGCAGCCCGCGTCACCGTTCCTTCCCTCTTCCCCGACCCCCCGACGGCCAGGCTGGGGGGCAGGGGCAGGAGCCAGCTCTCCTCCCCCGAGAGAGGCCTCAAAGCCACGCAAGATTCTGCCATCCAGAGATTTCCGCGCAGAGTTGCGGACTCCCCTCCTCCCAAGCACGGGTCCTGATTCCTCGCCCACCGGAGCCGTCCTGACCGTCTATGGCCCCAGCCAGCAGGCTGGCGTGCCCCCAAGGTGCACCCTCCAAGCCAGCCCTCCCCAGAAGGGCTCGAGGTCTTGAAACTGCCCTTCTCCACCTGTATCACCCCTTCATCCACAGAGGCTAAGGAAGGGCGGCCTGTCCCGACCCAGCAGGGCCTGGCCGCGGCCCGCAGCCACGTCGGCCCCCCCAGGCCCAGCACCCACGCCGGCGTGGCCCTGTTCACTCCTCCTCTGCCGGTGGGGTGGGCACCGTGCCTCCCCTGGCTCCCCTTTACTTTGCGCCAGCTGCTGACGCGCCCGGGCGCGCTCAGGTTGAGTCTTGTCTCCTCACAGCAGAAGTGAGGCTGCAAGCTATAAACACCATGTGATCCTTTCCAGCCCAGCCATGGATGCAGCCGCCCCCCACCCCAGCACACGCCCCCCACCCCAGCACACATCCCCCACCCCAGCACACACCCCCCACCCCA